ACATTATACAGTGACCAAACTTCTCTTGTTAATAGTCCTCAGTGCACCAGTTCTCACTCTAAGAGACCTAAGAATGAGGGGAATGAGGAAGTGCTGGTGGCTTCTGTCGAGGGGATAGTGGGACCTACAGCTCATGGAGACACAAATGACCTCAAGGTCAGTGAAAAGACAGAAGAATCAGCTAAGCTGGGGAACATAGAAGAATCTTTAGAGGAAAAGGCTTCTGCTATCAAGATGCAGCTGGATCGGAATTTATCCAATAATGCTAGGCTCTCTGGTGAGAAATTGACTGATTATATTTTACTTACAAACAGTAAATGGTTTATGATCTGAACCTCTTAAGCCCATGTTTCCTAGGGCAGACACCATACTTTTCCACATAGGTTAACCTATAGTCTATCTAAAGTTATAGAGTAACTTAACCATAAACACAAGTGAGTGTTATAAAAGTCAGGAGCACCTATGCTAGGTATAATGAAATTGTGAGACAAATTGCAGTGCTTTTTGATTTAATGAAAAAGAAGATTCTAAAATGAATTTTCTTGAGTGTAACTCAATTTATAATATACAATAAGTTTTTTGAAACACTACACATGAATTCACATGGTACAGAAATAACCAGTTACAGATAATTCTTTATAGATTCTTAGCTTTTGTCTTAGCATTAAGAAAATAAAGGTCAAGGTTTTTAAAAAGAACAGCAAAAATAGTCCCTCTTGTGAAATGTTGTATAAAGTCTCCTAAATGCTTTTCTTTAAAAGCCATCATCTATAAAACTTACCTACTTTGTTCTTTCCTCCCGCCCCAGCTGCCCCCTCCACCCTCCCAGTATAACTTATTTCTCTGAAATGGCTTCAATACTTCAGTGTTTGTTGGAGATTTTGTCTTTTTACTAATCAGGCTTATTGATAATATTTTATTTCTTTTCATAACCTTCATCTGGTCTGTCCTGTAATTTGGTGAATCCCTTAAATCTGGTCACTCCCCCACCCCGCCCCACCCTCTTCTCCTAGTTCAAGACAATGTAATCTCTTGTCTGTACAATAGCAGAAATTGTTTCCTCTTATTTTTCTATCATCCACTCTGCTCATCAGTTCTTCATATAGTGATCATAGGGATCTTTTAAAAAGATTGTCCTTTAGTAGTTGTCTCAACCTTCTTAATCTTACTCATATTCTACTGAGAAAAGGAAAAACTCCATATCCTAGACCTAATGAATCTTATCCTTCACTATTTTTTCATCCTTACTACCTTTTCCTCTTGAAATATCTTTGTTACTCAACTCTAAATCATAATTTTTTTATCAGTGAGTTTATACTTTTCTAGCGTTAAACAAATAAACATATATTCTTACATGGTAAGTTCCATGATGAGGTGGCATAGAAGATTGTTGGTATACTAAGCAAATATTTGAAATAGGAGAATGATAAGACACGGTTTCTTGAAATGAGTGATATTTGAGTTATGTGTGGCTAATGGAATGAAGATTGCAAGGTGGAGAAGGTAGTGGTGGGAAACAGTTATGCACTACAGATAAGTATATCTTCATAGACTTTCACCCATAATTTTTTACACAAAGGGGTTAATTAACCAGGTTTTGAATTACTTCATGGCTTAGGCTCAGGCCAAACTGTTTGTTTGCTTGTTTATTCATCCATTCATTTATTATTCACTTATTTTTTCAAGATTTATTTATTTATGTTTACAGAACTGGGTTACAGGCCAGAGGTGTGGGGGATGAGAGGATTCACCAGAGATAGAGTGGTGAGCAGAACAGGTAGATCAATTGAAATACACTGCTGAGGGGAGCAGCGGACATGTCAAGAGAGGTCTGCCACGCCATGTAGGTCAGCTCCCTGGCCAGGGATTGAACTCAAGCTGCAGTGGCTTCAGGAGAGCTTCACAGTGCTGTGCTATAACCCGTTGCTCCATCAGGGCGGGTCCAAACAGTTTTATTATTAACATTGACATTTATTCCTTGCATTTGACCTACAGGTTTTGAGACTTGGAAAAACATTTATGTAGAAGACTTGACTAGTTATAGCATCAAAGTTAGTATGTAATGAGTGAAGGAAATTGTGTGTGCGTGTGTGTGTATGTGTGTGTGTGTGTGTTGGGAGGGAGAGAGAAGGGAGTATATAGAGGTGGCAAGGGAAGCGACGTATTTGTGATACTTTTCTCCCTTTATGTTGGTAGTTTATGATGCAGGTTTAATGTAGGAAATACTTTTTATTTGATCTGCACAACCTTACATGTGTACTCTACATATGTCCTCTAAGGTAGAATGTTTTATCAGTAGCAACTCTTAATATCACATATTTGATAAAAATTCTTGTTTTTTGAAACATATCAAAGACTTTGGCTAATTATTATTATTGTCCCAGTTTTTGAGAAAGATTTGTAATAGAATTTCTTTTTAATCATTTACTTTTTTGGCACGCATTTCCTTTTGCTAATCTCCAACGTCTACCTTAGCAGCTATGAAAACTGAATTGGGCTTTGGTGACCAGTCATATTCTGTGGAACTTTGTATGGGAATTCAGAAGATAGGGATTCAGATAAGAATAGTTTAACAAATCTACTCATTAATAATATACACTGCAAGGTTTATTAACAGTCTTTTGTTTTACTCTTCAGGAAACAACTGCTTAAGCACATCTATAAAAGAGGAGATAAAAGCTGAGGATCACCAAGCCTTTGCCATAATTCCACCTTCGAATCCCAATGAGGCTGATTCCATATCTAGTGGCCATATAATGTCTGAAGAATCAGACCCACCCAAGATTCCATGGCCAAAGTCACCTGAGTCATGCTCCTCAGTGGCAGAGAGTAATAGTGTGTTGACAGAGGGAGAAGAGAGTGATGTGGAGAGCCGCAGGAGTGGCCTTGAACCTGGGGAAGTCCAGGTCATCCCCAGTGGAGAGAGAAATGGCTTCAAAGTCCCCAGTGTATGTTGAAATGTCCATTTTTACTGTATTCATTGTATGTTACGAAATCTTGCTTTGGGACAGAAAGAACATTTCACATTTATGAGTGTTAATCTGATTTCCTTTGATGATAGGAGGTAAGCTTGTTGGCTCCCTTGGTGATAATTCAGAACATTGAACTCTTGGTCACCTGTTGGAGCTTAATTAAAATTTTATTCTAAAATTTAACTTTGAGTTAATTATAGATTTGTATGCAATTGTAAGAATAGTACAGAAAGATGTTGCATACTCAAGTTTCTTTCAAAAATACCTTCTTGGAAAACTATAGTAGGCTATTACAAAGGTGCCATTGATACAGTCAAGAAAATGAATGGTTCAGTTATCTGTACTATTAATCAGGCTAGAAGTCATTCACCCATATGGCTCTGACCTCTTGCTGCCAACAGTTAATATTTTTGGGTCTTACCATTTTTATTTTACCATTAGGGCTCTCGTGTTTATGCTTGCTTCCTCTTTACTCTTTCCTCATGAACTCTCTGTAATCAGCTTACCTTTCTTTTGGTCCTTCGCCCAGTTGTAAACAGGCCTCTTACCTCCCAGAAAATTCAAGCCTTCTCTAGATTCAGAGGCTCCCCATTTTGACTCTGCTTAGCTTCTGTTTCTTGCCTTTTTTTGTACATTGTTAGTATTATATGCTTTTAGCATAAATCACCGTTGTAACCATAAAATTATGAGTGGATTAGCCAAACTACGATCGTGTGTAGTGATTGTCAGAATTCATTAATCTCTTTTGGGCTATAATACTTGATCAAGGAATTTAAGTGATAAGGAGAGCCTGGAGTACTTGAGTAGATAAATCTTGCTGGTCACTGAATAGTTCCACTCCCTCCTTTTTTTTTTTTTTTTTTTCCCTTCAGTCCCACTTCTTGATTGCTTCTGCTCACTTCATCTTACCTGGCTTTTTCCTATCTTTAAGTAGCAGAGAAGATTAAATTAGGAAATCAACTTGGAATACTCTATTTGTAAATAGTTTTAGATTGTTATTTAAATATAATTTCCTAATTTACCACAATAACTTTGATCATTTTAAGTATGATTATATATCCTATTGAATTATAAGATATGTATAAAGAACTTGAAAAATAGAAAATTTTGGTATCATTTATTTGAAAATACGACTAACAGGAAAATTGTTGTTTATATTCTAGTAAACAAAATTTACAACTTAATTTCATGTTGTGATTAAAGATAGCAGAGTAGATACTGGTAATCTGTTTGGAATGATCAATGCATCAAATGTTTGTTTAAATTATATTCATTCATTTCCTTTAAAATAACAGTAACTTTTTATTTCCTTGCTTTCAGTGAAGATGTTTTTTACATTAATTTTATCATAATTTCACTGAACAAAAATTAATGACGCAGAAAAGCAAATGCCATTCTTGGCTACGTTACTTGGAGTGACTTGGTCTGCCACTGTCCCTGATCCTTCACCTACACTTCCTTTCCCTCTCTCCTTGATAGTCCTTTATCGGGGTGTTAATACAGCCCATCTAAGTAATAAAGATTATTGCATTTTTGTGTATTTTTGAAGGGTTTTCTTAGTGTCTAAGTTTAGTACTGTGCATATGCTAGTCGCTCTTAGATTTAGCCAGTCTTCTGAGGGGATATTATTTTTTAAAAGAGCTTCTGTCTGTCTATTACTGTGCTTCATGCTTTTCTAGGAATAGACCATATACGTTTGGTCTTTACATATAATTCTTACTGCCCCAGATATTCTTCCTTAGAGAGTTTAATATCTTTCTCTCTCATTGTACTAAAGATTTCTCTGCTCAAATGTTTCCTTGTTAGGCCTTTTTTTGATGAACATATAAAATAGTCTGTTTCTTATCTATTTTCATTCCTTTGTCCTGCTTTATTTTTTCCTCCTGTGCATATTTTCTGGTTAGTATTCAATTTTTACTCTTCTATTATTTGTGCCCTGCTCTTGCTCTGCTGTATACTCCTAGAAAACAAGGACTTGGTGAACTAAGTCCACTTGTAGCTCAGCTCTTAGCACCGGATGGCACACAGTAAGGGCTTAAAAAAATGTATCTTATTGTAGACATTAAATTTTAGCTATTATAAACTGCAGATAAATATACATTTGTATAATTTTGTTATCTTTTCTACATCCCAGTATTTAGACTGCTCTCAGACTTTTCATCATGATTATGTGTTCTGATGTCAGCTTTATTTCCCTACTTTTGCCATTCTTTCTTCAGCATGCAAGGAAATTAGTCAACTGTTGATTAAAACCAACTAGTTTCAAACTGTCTCAGAAATAATTCCCCTTAATTCACCTCCCAACCCTTCTGCTATTTTTTTTTTTAATTCCTTAGGCAGGAATGCTTGTTTCAGCAAGTGCTAGCTGAAAGATATCAGAGTACATTGTGATTTTTACCTTTAATTTTAAAAGTAAAATGTTTTCTGCCCAGAACATAATATTTTATATAAAATTTAAGTGGTTACAATATGACATTAATATAAGACAGAATGACATATAAATGAAAGCACAATTGTTTATTTCTTACTTGATCCTCAAAAGAAGGGTTAGTCATTTCTGAATGGAAGGACATGGACTTCAGTTGGCAATATTGCTTTTTGTTTGGCATAGAAAGCAAAGCTACCTGCCAGATACTTCCATGTGATAGGATGGAAGTTACCAAGTACTTAGATTCTAGATTATAATGAATGTGTAATCCAAAATATTGAGTTTAAATTAGGTTAGAGAACTACTGTAAACTTGGTAACTACTAGTTTTTTTTACAGATTTTATTAGCATACTCTGACTTCAGATAGTATTTTATTATTGTGAAGTAGAAAGATAATTAATTGATTTCGTGGTAACATTAATAGTAAAATGGTGTCCTATTTCTTTTGACTTTAAGATTTAAATTTCTTTAAAAAGAGTGAATTTCCCTATGAGGTAAATAAGTATGAGTTATTCATAAGTATACTGTCATAAGTCATTGCAAACCATAGATTTTTGTTAAAAATAATTATTTAACTATTTGATTCCACCCATTTTTGTCCCATAATTAGAGAATAGAGGGAGAGACCAAAACGGCTAAAAGCTGGCGCCATCCACTTAGTAAGCCTCCAGCAAGATCCCCAATGACTCTAGTGAAGCAGCAAGCAACAAGTGATGAAGGTGAGCTTGTAATTTTTTTCTGTATTTATTCTGTATATACTGTATATCATTTAGCCCTTATTCTGTCAGTTTTTATAAAAAGCTGTTACAAAAAAAATGGATAGTGGGAGTACAAGCTGATACAACCACTATGGAAAGCTGTTTGGAGGTTCCTTAAAAGGATAAAAATAAAGCTTCCATATGACCCAGCAGTCCCATTCCTAAGTATCTACCCAAAGGACACAAAAACTTTGATTCAAAAGGCGACCTGCACCCCCATGTTTATTGCTGTTCTGTTTACAGTAGGAAAGATGTGGAATCAACCCAAATGCCCAAAAAAGAGAATCATGTTTAGTGAAAGAAAAAGAAAAATACCAGATATTTTCACTCATAGCAGGAGTGTAAGGGGTTGGGGGGAAGAGAGAGAGAGAGAGAGAGAGAGAGACAAACAAAAGTATAGAGTAAAAATGAAAACAATGAACAACTATAAACCAGAGACATTTTATGGGGGTGGAAGGGAGAATGGGATCAGAACTGGAGTGGAAAGAGTGCATTAGACTGTGGTGATGGCACATGGGTGAATTGGTGGTGGGAAGACCATGGGGATTTCAACTGAGATGGAGAAAATGTGCAAAATGAAGAATGATATAAAATATATATAGATATTACTAATTTTAAACTCCTAAAAATGGAACTACCATATGACCCACCAATTCAACAACTAGGGATCTATCCAAAGGATACAAAAAAAAAGATACCTGCACCCTATGTTTATTGCAGCACTATTCACAATAGGTGAGATATGGAAACAACCCAAATGCCCAAAAACAGATAACTGGGATGGTTTCACTTATATGGGAATCAAGTCATGAATTGGGGGAAAATGATGATGATGATGATGATAAAATAATAATGATAATAATAACAAAGCAGGTAACAAAAATAAGAGACAAGGGAGGGGGAGGAAAAGGGATCAAAATGGGAGAGAAGAGCACAAGGGACTATGGTGAAAGGTCATGGGTGAACTGGTGGTGGGAATTTTATGGGGAATATACAATGATGTAGAATATATACATTTAAAAAAGAAAAGAAATGTTAAAAAGTAGTTGCTAAGAAGAATCAACTCAATTGGATGATAAATTTTCTTGGAAGGAAGACTGGTGCAGAAAGTATGTAACCTTTAACAAAACAACCTCTGTATTCCACTTACTTAAAATCTTACATACCGTGTCTCCATACTCAACCTTTTGGGGAGACTATCAAATGGGACACTGCCTTGTGAAAAGTAAAGCATTATACTCAAATGTTAGTGATTATTAACTTGGAAATTGAAGAATAAGCAATTAAAAGAGAACTGATACCCAGGATAGACAAGTAAATAGTAAAAGGATAGTAAATTTCATTAAATGAGTTCAAGTGTTTTTCATTTTTTCAATTTTTATTGAACAAAAGGCAAGGGCTAAGCATTTGTCTTCAATGACCTACAAGAGATACTGGACATAAGCAGACACAAGAATAGTTCACAGGTGAACTAGGGGTTGGAATTTTACAGGGACTACACAATGCACTTATTTGGTAAAAGATATAAATTAAAAAATGATGTACAGACACACGCACATACATAGACATATATACATTACATATACATACATACACACACATACAAATTAAACAACAATGAAAAAGAAGTTGACCTAATGGCAGTGGATACTATAAAGAGATCAAAGGTAGAAATAAATAAATGAATTTTGATTTTAGGATAAATATTTGTTTCACATAATCTTGCCATAATATTAGTGAAAGTCTTTCCCTTTCAGATGATGGATAAAATTGGTTATTTCTGACATCTTAAAATATTCTATAAGAAGAAGAGAAATTCATCTCAAAAGATATAAAATCATGGAATTAACATGCTATAGTCTTTGCACTTTTCTATTTTAAACTTAAATCCTTTAAATTAGTAACACCCTCTTGTGTGAGAAATTATATATATATATATATATAATACTTCCATATCATGTTATGCTTTGTTTGGCAAAACAATTATATTTTTAGTTACATTGTGGTGATGTGGTTTGAATGTAAAGTACAACAGCTTTATTTACAAACAGTAGCCATTCCTGGATAGATTCATTCATTTGTTTTTGTCTTTTAGTTTTTGTTAGTTCTTTTCAAATATGTCTTTTTTGTTATCTTCAGTGAAAAATCAGACCATTACTCAGCCACTTCTTTCTTTCCTACATGTCTTGTTGTATCATGAGGGCCTTTAAATTTTTTTTTCCATGACTGCAAGGATCAGTTCAAGAAGGTTTTCTGTAAAGAGACCTTTCTGGAGATATTTGCCTTTATTGCTTAAATAAAATTAATTAGGTCATGTGTCTTTGAAGAAGCTGTATAGAGAGTATCATGAATCTTACTTTCAAGCTTCTTAGTTTAAATAAATTTATCAGAGTAGACATCTTTGGCAGATTTTTTTTTTTTTTTTGCTTTTTCTCTTTTATATTTCATTGTTTCAGAAAAATTATCAGTGTTTGGTGATCTGGTGATGATAGTTTCTGTAACATCAATTCAAGGTGGAATTCTGTCTCTAGAAATACAAGTAATGAAGCCTATTTGTGTTAATTTTCATATCTAATCATGTTAAATTCTTCTTCCTCAAACTACTTCCCTCTTAGTTTCAAGAAAAAGGATAATTCTGTATAAAATAATTAATAATTAATCTACATTACTTATAAATTTTAATTACCTTCCCCCATCGGCACCTATCTTCAACTTATGTTCTTGGAGAACTATGCTAACATATGAGAAAAAAAATTTTTTTGCAGTATCCTTATTTTCCTAGGGAGTTTATTTTGATATGTGCCATCATAAATTGGCCTAGAGTTTCTCCTTTGAGAGCAATTCTGATTTCAGTCAGTATAGCTTGCAAAATTTATAGATGAATTGGTTTAACGAATTCATCTCAAGGGTTTGAGGTTAAATATCTTGCTGAAACATTGATGATTATAGCCTTTCAGCAGTCTCTCACTCTATTTTAATATGTTAAGGACTCTTGTGGCACTCTGCAGATTTTTGAGAATTGTTAAGAAAAATCAGGGAATTTCAATGATGACTGAAGATTTTTAAAAGCTGAAAATGGATTTTAGGCTGAAAATGGAAACTGTTCTTTGGCCGGTGGTGCATTATTTATATTACCAGGCACTTGAATAGTGATGCTTCAGCTATTGGTCTCTGTATAGTTGGAAGTGAATGGACATTATCATTATTGGAAAGTGATAAACTATTGGTTTAGAGGTGTCTGGAAGCATACATCTCCAAACTGCCTACTTCTGGGAATTCTCTATCCTAACTTCTCAGCTCCTTTTGCTGCTTAGATGGAAGTAGGTGTGTATCCCAGTAGGAACATAGTCAATTAGAGCATTTGAGAAATTATATCTCTAAACAACAATCATCATCTCCTATTAGTGAATGAGCATTTTTATTCTGAGATGGAATTTGATTCCCATACAGAAAAGCAGTAAAAGAAAAATTTACTGATCTAGCACCTCTGGGAAACCTACATGCAATTGGAAGATAAGGGTTGTTCTTTTTTTTTTTTTTTTTTAACACAGTGCAGTGACTTTTTGATACCCAAATGCCTTAAACTGTCAAGATAATTCTGATTGGTGACAGGTCTAGTAATTACAGGACTATGAGGGGTTCCTGTTCTTTTCTGGAAGATTTTCCGTGCTCAGTAGCAAAGCCCAAGGGTCTGTGGTGGTGGAGCAGAGAATACATAAGAAGAGTGGTGTAAAATTTAGCCTCTTCCCAAAAAAACTACCATCTAATTCATGTTTTTGCTGTTATTAAAAAATGATCTTAAATCTGTACTACATATTAATTATTGATAACTTAAAAGAAATTACTAACCCACCTCTGATGTTCTTTTAATATGTAGACAGCTATATGAGGTGATCCTTAAAATTCTTTACCTTTTCCTATTATTAAGTTAATTATACACATGTTGAATTGAAAAAGACTTTACAAGAAAGTACATTCGTGGGTGATTTTATTTTTGAAGGTTTCTGGCTATTTGCCCATGTGATTGATATCCAGGTATAGTATAGACAAGCTCAGAAATGTGTCTTTCTTTTTTTGTGGCTGATGAGAATGCATGCTCAAAAACTCTAACACATATGCCTAAATATTGCAGCTTTTGTACACGATAAGTGACTTTAAAGCCATTCATGATCTACGAGCATCGCTTTCTAGTTTCATTTCCTCATTTGCCCTGTATGAATCCACCCTTCCCCCCAATCAGAAAACTTTTTCTCCATCTGACTATAGTTTGTTACATTAGGCTTTTCTGCTTTTCATTAAACCATTACTTTATCTGTGATACGCTTTTTCTTCTTGGAATAATTTTCATCTACTTTTCACCACCTATTCATCCTTTGCTATGTATACTGTCCTATATTCTGTACTTAGTTTTATCATACTACTTGTAACCTTACATTATGCCTTTCTTTTTGCCTTCCCCTTGAGAAACAAGGTCAATTTTTGTGGCTGAAATCACTCTGTGGATCCAAGAATAGGAAGGACATGGTGATCAGTAACCTAAAATCAACCAATGAAACAAATAACCACTTTAATAAATATATACTGTAAATTCATGTCCAGGAAATATTCTCTGTATGTATATGTGTATAGGAAAACAATCTGTTTTAATTAAATATCTATATATGCATGCATGTACACACATATAAATATGTAACAAAATATGGCAGTGGCTCAGTTTTATATCTTACATTGGAAACTTCTTTATGTTCAATCCTAGAATGTACTCATAGTCAAAATGAAACTGACACATTACAGATATGGCTAAGTGCCTTGCAGACTTAAGGTTTCCTACAATAATGATATCCCATTGTGATAGTTTCTAGCCAGCACTTTCATTTCTTTATTCCCCTCTTTTTCCTCCCCTCCTTTCTTCCTCATTCATTCTCCCACTACCTATCTACAGATGTAGCTACCTATTCATC